TGGGCACTATGGGGCAATTTAGCACGGCCAATCCACCCTAACCTGCATATCCCTGGGCACTATGGGGCAATTTAGCACGGCCAATCCACCCTAACCTGCACATCTTTGGACAGTGGGAGGAAACCGGAGCACCCGGAGAAAATGCACGCAGTCATGGGGAGAATGTGCAAACTCCACGCAGGCAGTCACCCGAGAATACCCCGTGCATTACGTTTCTGTTACTTAACTCGTGTTTCTGCATTGATTATGTGATCAACGGAGGCACTCCTGGTTCCAGAGGTACCAGTTAATAAAAAGCTTGCTGTGTAAATAATTTGGAAATGTGAAGCGCTGAGGAGCGTTTCCAAACAGTGAGGAGTGAGGGTCCGGGATGCACTGCCTGGAAAGGGTGGTGGAGGCAGGTTCAGTCGAGGGGCACCGGGTGGTCTCTTCACAGGAAGCGATGTGCGGGATTACAGAGAAACGGCGGGAGATTTGGCCATGAGTTATGGTTTGGAGAGTGGGTGCAGACAGGATGGGCTGAATGGCCTCCTTCGACATCGTCCTAACTCTCTGATAAGTTGCAGGTGGGCTGTGTGAGTGTAGTAAAATGACTCGTTACTCCTCCTTCCCTTTCAGTTTAATTTACGCTCCTCTTACTTTCTCTTTCTCTCTCTCTCTCTCTGTGTGTCTCCCACTGTTGAATAGCTGCGAATGGCCGCACTGACTGCTTGCACTTGATGATCGACAGCGTGACGGATGCAGAGGTCCTCAATGCAGTGGACGCCCAAGGCCAGTAAGTTGCTGCTCCAGATCCCGCACCCCTCGTGGCCATCAAACAGAGAGCCCTGCCAATACTTGGCCCACGCTTAGTGGGGAGAGTGTTGGCCGAGACCCTACAGCAATGGGCTTGACTCTTAAACACCACCCTGACTTGATTCAGTGTGTTATTGTCACGCGTCCTGAGATAGAGTGAAAAGTATTGTTTTGTGTGCTACCCAGACGAATCTTACCTTGCATAAGTACATCAGAGGAAGAGAACAGAACATAGTGGTCACAGCTACAGAGAAAGATCAGCTCTAATATATGAGAGGTCTGTCCAAATGTCTGATGACAGCGGGGAAGAAGCTGGTCTTGAATCTGATGGTTCTCAAACTTGTGCTGGATGGAAGAGAGAGTACAACCAGGATCTTTGATTATGTTGCTTGCCTTCCCGAGGCAGTGGGAAATGTAGACATCAGAGCGGGGGCACTCCGTTTCAAGGGATGGGCAGCAAATGCTAACTTTGCCAGCAATGCCCACATCCCGTGGGGCACGTAGACCAGAGGGACTTTGGGGCCAGCAATGCTTGTGGAGAGGAGAGAGAGAGAGGTCGTGTCCCATTCATCCTCCATTCAGTGTTTTATCTTCAGAACTGGAGCATGTTAGACTTTGGTGATGATTCCTGTACCATGCATTGCAACTCCCCAGGCATTGTTTTAACACAGTATTCGGAAGAAGTCATTACCGGACTCGCATTTGTCCCCCTGCTCTCCCCAGACACTGCCAGAGCAGCTGAGTTCCTGCAGTGTCCTGTGTGTTTGTTTCACATTTCCAGCATCTGCAGGATTTTGCATCTGTTTTGTTATGGTACTCGTGTGGAGTAGTAATGCTACAGTTAGGGCATTAAGTCACTTTCTGTTGGGGATTGGGTAACTTTGAACCATCGTTTTCTGTTTCTGCCAAATTTAAGACCATCGGTAAAAGGAACAGGAGTAGGCCATTATGCCCCTCGCACTTGCTCCCCCATTCAATAGGGATCGTGGCTGGCCAGACATTCCTCACGTCCGCTTTCCTGCCCTTTCCCTCGATTCCCTGGCTGTTCAGGAATCTATCGATCTCAGCCTTCGATAGATGCAAGGACTCTGCCCCACACAGCTCTCTGTGGCAAAGAATTCCAAAGACCCACAGCCCTCTGAGAGAAGAAATTCCTCCTCATCCCAGTCTTAAATCGGTGCCCCTTAATTCTGAGACTGTGCCCTCTGGTCCCAGACCCCCTCATGAGGGGAAACAACCCCTCAGCATTGACCCTGTCAAGTCCCCTTAAGAATCCTGTATATCTCAATGACTCACCTCTCATCCTTCTAAACTCCAGTGAGTAAAGTCCCAACTTTGCTCCTAAGACAATCCCTCTGTCCCAGGGTGGGGATTTGTCGAATATTTCCAGTTACAGCAGGGTGTTTGCGAGTCTTCCCCCACACCCCAGTGGTCGTGTCCCAATGCCCATTTGTAATCTGGAAACTTCGGTAACCCAGGAGTGACCTTGCTGCACAGCGTTCCAGACTGGAGAGGTCACATCGCTGAAGCATTTCCTAATTTCGCTCCTGAGGGATCCAGCTTTAGGTTTTATACTCTGGGGTGTGGTGTCCAGATTTGCTGCTGGTAATCGAGTGGGCTGTAACCAGGAATTTGTCTAGCTGCAGCATAACCTCTGCATCCTTATACCCCTGTCCTCGGGATATAAAGGCCAACATTCCATGAGCCTCCTCTCCAATGTATTCCTTTCCAAGATGGATTATAACAAGCCTCAGGCTCCTTTGTATAACAGGCTATAAGCCTGTCACATGCAGACCCTAGTTGCTCGTGTGAAACGATGTGAGATGGTACAGATTTAATGGTAGGAGTCTTTCCCCTGGGATGGGGGACTTCAAAACTAGGGGACACATTTTTAAGGTGAGAGGAGGGAAATTTTTAAAAAGGACACGAGAGGCACGTTCTTTTTTCCCCCTCCATACAGAGTGGTTCATGTGTGGAATGAACTTCCAGATGAAAGGGTGGATGTGGTACAGTTACAACGTTTAAAAGATATTTTGGATAAGTACATGGATAGGAAAGGTTTGGAGGGAGACTGGCCAGGAGCAGGCAGGTGGTGCTAGTTTAGTTTGAGGTTGTGGTCTGCATGGACTGGTTGGGCCGAAGGGACTGTTTGTGTGCTGACTGGATGTTACAGTGTTGGAGTGTTGTGCCTGGTCCTGGGTAGGCCTGTTTTCGGGAAGGGGAATGGTAAAGATCTTGGAGATATTTAACAATGGTATTCGAGCGCCAAGGGAGGGCTCTGGGGACAAGAGAGTCCGGGAGCGTTTTCCTTGCAGTGGAGAGGGGGAGATTTGACAGGAGCGTTCGGAATTGAGGGGGCTCCGGTCACACGATAGCGGGTTACAGTCCAACAGGTTTATTTGAAATTGCAGACCTGCGGAGCGCTGCTCCTTCGTCAGGTTAAGTCCTGAATGAGGTGGCGCAGCCTTTCAGCTGATGGTGGCACCTCCCTCTGTGCTGCGTTGCGGGGGGCACTGGAGATTGACGAGGGATGGGCCACGTGAGCCCGCTCAGCGCAGGGACGGGGTGGGGGTGGGTTTGCGTGGGGAGAAGGGGGTTGTTGATGTGCTTCATGTAGTCGCCAGGCTGTAGTCACCTCTGTTACCTGTACTCACTGTCCGCCTCCCTCTGTGTTTCTGTCCTTCTCCCCAGGACACCCCTGATGCTGGCCCTGACGAATGGTCACCTGGACTGTACCCAGCTGCTGCTGGAGAAGGGCGCCCCAGTCGACACAGCCGATAACAGAGGGCGGACGGCACTGCATCGAGGGGTGAGTGATAGCCGGGCTGGAGGCGCGGTCTCTCCTTCCCTCCCCTCCCTGAACCACCTATCTCTAACCGGTTTCTCTCTCTGTGTGTGTGTGTGTGTGTGTGTGTGTGTGGTTTGCAGGCCGTGCTGGGCTGTGACGACAGTGTGGCGGCTCTCCTCCATCACCGGGCGTTGGTTCTGTGCCGCGACGTGGAAGGCCAGACGCCCCTGCACTTGGCAGCAGCCTGTGGGCACGTGGGAATCCTGGGCACCTTGCTGCAGGCAGCGCCCTCTGTCGATCTGGGGGATCCGCTCCAGGATTACTGCGGCTACACCCCCTTACACTGGGCTTCTTACAAAGGTGGGCACCCCTCTACGCCCTCCCCCGTCCAGGTGTACACAATTCCTTCCCCACCTCCCCCTCATATCTCCTGCCTTCCTCCACTCCCCCGCCCCACCCCTCCCCCCCCCCGCCCCACCCCTCCCCCGCTCCCGCCCCACCCCTCCCCCGTTCCCTCCTGGGTCACAGTCAGGGGTGTCCCTCCGCTATGGTGTTAGAGCACCGTCACTCCCTCCAACACCCAGCCTTTACTCCCTGACCCCACCCTCCTGGAACCAGTTCTGTTGTTATCCCTCCCTTCCATCGCTTCCCTCCCCTCGTTCACCTGATTGTTCTCTCGTGTTTCTTCTCTGCCTCCTCTCCCTCACTCACCTGATTATTCTCTCGTATTCCTTCACTCTCTCGTGCCTCTTCCTTCCCACCCTCCGGTCACACTCTCCTCCCTCAGCTATTCTCTCGTGCTGCCTCCTTCCTATCACACTCGTGTTTCCCAACGCACTCCCCTCCCCTCACTCGCCCGCTCTCTCGATCGTTCTCGTGTGCCTCCTCCCCTCCCACCTTCGCTTGCTCACTCTCTCGTGCCTCCTCCTTTCCATCCTCCCACTCGCTCGCTGACGCCCTCCTCAAAGTTTTACATCCTGTTGTTGCTGTCAGTTTGACTGTTTCCTTTCTGTCTGCTCTTCCCCCCCCCCCCCAACCAGGTCATGAAGACTGTTTGGAATTACTACTTGAACACAAATCACTTAACCTCGAGGGCGATTCTTTCAGTCCGTTGCACTGTGCTGTGTAAGTCACTCACTTTCACCACGATATCATAGAATCCCTTCAGTGTGGAAGCAGGCCATTCGGCGCAACACGCCACACTGACCCTCCGAAGAGCGTCCCACCCAGACCCACTCCCCTACTCTGTCCCTGTAACCCTGCA